TGTAGAAGTTTGTTGATTCTTTGCTTCAACTGCCAGGCCCTGGGGCCACTGATGCCACTTCAGGGAATCTTGAAGGAGAGATCGTCAGCACAAATGGTCCCAGCAGCTGCTAGAGCCTTGCCCTAAAATTCCCTAATGGAGCTGGCTAAACACAAGCAGCAGTCAAATTTGTTACCGAATCCAGGCTTGCTACACCCAGTGAACAACAGGCCAGTGAATCAGAGATGAGATGTTGAGGGAAAGAATGTGACTTTATTCGGTAAGCTGGCTGACTGAGAAGATGGCAGACTAATATCTCAAAATAACCTTCTTGGGTTCTGGATGCCAGGTTCTTTATAGAACAGAAATGAAGGGAAGTGAGGAAATAAAGTAAAAAGGCAGAATAGAGAGGGAGAGGCAATGAGTCTTGGGACATCAGTCTTGCAAAACATCTCTGGGAATCCCCATACAGTTTTTTAATTCATAAATTTTACCTTTTACAGTTAGGTCTCTAATCCATTTAGAGCCTGCTTTTGCATGTGGCATTAAGGTCCTAGTTTTATTTTCCTTCAGTTTCCCAGAAGTCTCTGCTAAATAAACCTTCCTTTCTCATTGATTTGTTTTGTCAATTTATCATTTATCCAGTTTGTACTAAAGTCAGTGTATCTGGGTTTATCTCTGAACTTGTTATTCTGCTTCCTTTGATCTATATGTTCTTTTCTAGATTGGTACCATATTTATTACTATGACTTTATACTAGGATTTAATGTTTGATAACAGTAGGTTCTCACCTCTTTTCCTTTTTAAGGTTGAGTTTTATTTGTGGACATTTCTTCATCCTTTATTGAATTCCTCAAAAAAAATTCAGCTAGAATTTTGATTGTCATTATTATTCATATTATAAGTTCATTTATAGGAAATTGACATCTTTATAATACTAAGTGGTTCCAACCGAGACCTTTCCATTTTTACAGATCATCTTCTTTGTTCTTTATTAGTGTTCAATTTCTTTTTCCCCTAGTCTTACTTTCTCTTGAGTTAAGTCAATCCTAGATACTTTACAGTGTGAAAGTGAAAGTTGTATCTGACTCTTTGTGCCCCCATGGACTATACAGCCCATGGAATTCTCTAGGCCAGAATACTGGAGTGCGTAGCCTTTCCTTCCTCCAAGCGATCTTCCCAACCCAGGGATCAAACCCAGGTCTCCCACATTGCAAGCAGATTCTTTACCAGGTGAGCCCAAGAATACTGGAGTGGATAGCCTATCCCTTCTCTGGTGGATCTTCCCGACCCAGGAATCAAACTGGGGTCTCCTGCGTTGCAGGTGGTTTCTTTACCAACTGAGCTATCAGGAAAGCCCACTTTACAGTATGGGTTGAAATTATTACTATCTTATTTATTAATTCTTTTCTAGTCAATTATTGCTGGTGTAGAGAAATGCTGTTGATTTTTATAAGCCAATCCATAGCCTTGCTGAACTCTAGTTGAGTCTCCTGTTACCTCTGCCAAGTGTGCTGAATTTTCTATGTATATAATCACATTAATTCCAAATAATGACAGCTAGAGCTCTTTTCTTACAGTTATTGCACCAGTCTTTGTCCTTGCATATGGCATTGGAAGAAGGATTCCCAAGTGGCTCAGTGTTAAAGAATCCACCTATCAATGAGGAGATGCAGGTTTGATTCTTGGGTCAGGAAGATCCCTTGGAGAAGGAAATGGCCACCCACTCCAGTGTTCTTGCCTAGGAAATCTCATGGACAGAGGAGCCTGGAGAGCTACAGTCAATGGGATCACAAAAGAGTTGGACACAACTTAGTGACTAAAATAACAGTAATGGCACTGGAAGGATCTCCAGTCCTGTGACAGGGGACGTCCTTATTTTGTTTCTGATCATAAAGGAACTGCATTCAAAAATTATCTATTAATTATGTTTACCATTTCTGTTATATAGTCTTTATTAAGTTAAGCAGGTTTCCTCCTATTCCTAGACTGCTAAGAGTAGTTTTCTTAGTGATAGGTATTCAGTTCAGTTCAGTCGCTCTGTTGTGTCCAACTCTTTGCAACCATGGACTGTAGCACGCCAGGCTTTCCTGTCCATCACCAACTCCCAGAGCTTACTCAAACTCATATCCATTGAATTGGTGATGCCATCCAGCCATCTCATCCTCTGTCATCCCCTTCTCCTCCTGCCCTCAGTCTTTCCCAGCATCAGGGTCTTTTCCAGTGAGTCAGCTCTTTGCATCAGGTGGCCAAAATATTGGAGTTTCAGCTTCAGCATCAGTCCTTCCAATGAACACCCAGGACTGATATCCTTTAAGATGGACTGGTTGGATCTCCTTACAGTCCAAGGGACTCTCAAGAGTCTTCTCTAACACCACAGTTCAAAAGCATCAATTCTTCAGCGCTCAGCTTTCTTTATAGTCCAACTCTCACATCCATACATGACCACCGGAAAAACCATAGCCTTGACTAGATGGACCTTTGTTGACAAAGTAATGTTTCTGCTTTTTAATATGCTGTCTAGGTTGGTCATAACTTTCCTTCCAAGGAGTAAGCGTCTTTTAATTTCATGGCTGCAGTCACCATCTGCAGTGATTTTGGAGCCCAAAAATTAAAGATAGGTATTGACTGTTATCAAATACTTAATATCTAGATGTGGTAGAGGATTAGGCTGCAACCTGACTATTCTCTGAGAACATCTTATATGAAGTGTCATGACACAGCCAGGCATTCAGGAACCTAGTGTGCATTCCTAGCAATTTTACTGTAATCACAGATATGTTTCTTGAATTTGCTAATCTTTGTAGCATAATTTGTACAGTGAGAGATTTTGGATTAAATAATACAAGATCTTCCTTATTTTATCACAAACAGAAAATTCTCCAAAGTCTCATTAAGTTTTGAGTTCTTCTTATTCTTAGAAATGATTCTCTACTTCAAAAATTTTTTTAATGATTTTCATAATTAAATGTTGCTTTTGTGATCTCAACTGATTTTAAAATGATTTAGTCTTAATATAGTTTATGATTATCCAACTTTATTCTAATATTCAATTTTAAAGTAGTGATCAGCAACATATGCCCATGACCTTATGTCCTATTGCCTGTATCTCCAGTCCGTGGTCATTCCTCAGCTCCAGACTCACCAAGCTTACCAGACTCACTGGTATCTCTTGTCCCCCGTGTAGCTTGATAATGGCATTGTCAAAGCGACATCCTCATTTGTCTTCCTATGGTCTTGCTCCACCTTCCGTCTTCTGTCCACAGAATTGTACAATCCAGAAACCTGGGTTCCACCTCAATTCTTCTAGTCTTTCATGTTCCATGTCAAACACTAAGCCTTCCAGAAAGTTCTCATGTTCAATTCCCTGAGGTGTTTAAGCAGAATTGTGAGCAGCATGGAAGCCAAGAGCTGAGCCCCATGAGCAAATGGAGAGTAGATCAGGGAAGTGGGCCTGCAAAAGACCAGGTACAAGAATGAGGCCATTTGGCATATCCCAGGACCCTGTCCCTCTGGCTCTTACCCAAAACAGGCTCCAAAAATCCTAGTAGACATATTCTGAGCAGTTTAACTGGCCTTTTAACTTCCAAATGGATTTTTATTTATACCCAGGCATTTCAATAATGGTAGTAGAAACATAAATGGGATGTTAGTTCATTTGTTTAGTCATTCTTCCTCTGAATATTATCCAAGTTAGTCTTTAGTTCTGAAGGTCATGAAAAATAATTTTATAATATTTGGTGCCACTTTTATTTGTAGATGTCCTAGTGCTGGGGATGACTATTATCAGCATTACAGCATATGCCATTTTTGTTTTTATGGCACATGGTATTTTGATGTGGGGTACAGTAGAAAGTGTTTAATGATCATTCTACTGTGCATCTTTAATCTCTGCCCTTGGAACCACCCATGGTAAGTGAGATCTTCATTCTGAAAGATCTGAATCTTCGATTCATTCATCTGTAATTTGATGAATGTACATTCACAAATGTTCATAGGTTATCGTGCAGAATACTTTGTTCCCAAACTGTGCTTGCCCTTATGTGTAAGATATGTGTCTTTTGTACTGAAAATAAAGAGAAAATCAATCACTCATGAACCATTAAATGCTGAACTAAGACTCATTCAGTGAGTGAGTGACTGCAAATATTATGAACACAGCCTTTCTTACCCCATTTTGAATAGCCCCATTTGTCTGTCTATAGAAAGAAAAATTACTTTGTAGATGCGTTTGCAAAATCTTGCCTGTTTCCTATTTCCAAAAATTATTGTATTCAGAATTCCTTTGATAAAATTCTTGTTGGCATTTATATGTCAGAAGATGTTAATTCCTTCATTTAACAGATATCTATTGTGTACCTTCTCTGTGCCAGGCTCTGCCCTGGCCCGCTAAGAAGATAGCAGCAAACAAGAGACTCATTCCCTGCTTACATTCCCGCATGAGGAAAGAGGACATGAGCCAGCTATTCAGAAAATTATTTAATGATCTCAGCACCAGTTGGGGTCTACCCAACTGGACATTAGAATCAATTCCATAGGGTCCATGCCAGGGTTTGGAAGGTTCCAGGAACTAATATCCCTTATAACAACCCAATAGGCAGAGCTTCCAGTGTCCCCACAAGAATAAGTCCAGTTGCAAGAATCACTATTTTAAAGAAGTTCAGAGCTGTGGTAAACCTACCAGATATTTATAGTTTCTTCCAGTTTATGATATAGTGTACCAATCAGAGGTTATTTTTATCATAAGCAATGTTGCTGGCATTCTACATTTATCAAGTTACTAGGAAACAGATCCAGGAATTATTTTAAGGTCAACTTTGTCCTTAGAGGAGAAAGAGTTGTGTTAACACTTTACCTACAATTACTTTCGTGAGATGTATGGAATGTGAAGAACATTTATGACCTAGAATGTTTATAGCTGATGCCACTGCTATGCAGTCATTCATTATGCTGCAGACTTTAAGTGACTTTTACATGGGCATATGATGCTGACACCCTCTTTATTTTGCAGATAAGTCATCATGGTGAAAAGCCACATAGGCAGCTGGATCCTAGTTCTCTTTGTGGCCATGTGGAGTGACGTGGGCCTCTGCAAGAAGCGACCAAAACCTGGAGGAGGATGGAACACTGGGGGGAGCCGATACCCGGGACAGGGAAGTCCTGGAGGCAACCGCTATCCACCTCAGGGAGGGGGTGGCTGGGGTCAGCCCCATGGGGGTGGCTGGGGCCAACCTCATGGAGGTGGCTGGGGTCAGCCCCATGGTGGTGGCTGGGGGCAGCCACATGGTGGTGGAGGCTGGGGTCAAGGTGGTACCCACAGTCAGTGGAACAAGCCCAGTAAACCAAAAACCAACATGAAGCATGTGGCAGGAGCTGCTGCCGCTGGAGCAGTGGTAGGGGGCCTTGGTGGCTACATGCTGGGAAGTGCCATGAGCAGGCCTCTTATACATTTTGGCAACGACTATGAGGACCGTTACTATCGTGAAAACATGTACCGTTACCCCAACCAAGTGTACTACAGGCCAGTGGATCAGTATAATAACCAGAACACCTTTGTGCATGACTGTGTCAACATCACAGTCAAGCAACACACAGTCACCACCACCACCAAGGGGGAGAACTTCACCGAAACTGACATTAAGATGATGGAGCGAGTTGTGGAGCAAATGTGCATCACCCAGTACCAGAGAGAATCCCAGGCTTATTACCAAAGAGGGGCAAGTGTGATCCTCTTCTCCTCCCCTCCTGTGATCCTCCTCATCTCTTTCCTCATTTTTCTCATAGTAGGATAGGGGCAACCTTCCTGTTTTCATTATCTTCTTAATCTTTACCAGGTTGGGGGAGGGAGTATCTACCTGCAGCCCTGTAGTCGTGGTGTCTCATTTCTTGCTTCTCTCTTTGTTACCTATATGCTAATACCCCTGGCACTTACAGCACTGGGAAATGAAGAGCAGACATGAGATGCTGTTTATTCAAGTCCTATTAGTTCAGTATGCTAATGCCCCATCTTAGCAGTGATTTTGTAGCAATTTTCTCATCTGTTTCAAGAACACCTGACTATATTTCCCTTTTGGAATAGCGTTTCTGCCAAGTCTGGAAGGAGGCCACATAATATTCACTCAAAAAAACAAAACTGGAAATCCTTAGTTCATAGACCCAGGCTCCACCCGGTTGAGAGCATGTGTCCTGTGTCTGCAGAGAACTGTAAAGGATATTCTGCATTTTGCAGGTTACATTTGCAGGTAACACAGCCAGCTATTGCATCAGGAATGGATATTCATGCAACCTTTGACTTATGTGCAGAGGACATTTTCACAAGGAATGAACATAACAATACAAAAGGCTTCTGAGACTAGAAAATTCCAACATATGGGAGAGGTGCCCTTGGTTGCAGCCTTCTATTTTGTATGTTTAAAGCACCTTCAAGTGGTATTCCTTTCTTTAGTAACATAAAGTATAGATAATTAAGGTACCTTATTAAACTACCTTCTAGACACTGAGAGCAAATCTGTTGTTTATATGGAACTCAGGATGATTTTGACATTGCTTAGGGATGTGAGAGTTGAACCGTAAAGAAAGCTGAGTGCTGAAGAATTGATGCTTTTGAATTGTAGTGTTGGAGAAAACTCTTGAGAGTCCCTTGGACTGCAAGGAGATCAAATTAGTCCATCCTAAAGGAGGTCAGTCCTGAATATTCATCAGAAGGACTGATGCTGAAGCTGAAACTCCAATACTTTGACCACCTGATAGGAAGAACTGAAGGCAGGAAGGATTCTTGGAAAGACTGAAGGCAGGAGGAGAAGGGGATGACAGAGGATGGATGACATCACTGACTCAATGGACACGAGCTTGAGTAAACTCCAGGAGTTGGCCATGGACAGGGAGACCTGGCATGCTGCAGTCCATGGGGTCGCAAAGAGTCGGACACGACTGAGTAACTGAATTGAGGTGAACCCAGATTTTAACATAGAGAATGCAGATATAAAAACTCCATGTTCATTTGATCGAATCTTTCCTGAACCAGTGCTAGTGTTGGATGGTAAGAGTATAACAGCAAATATAGGTTATGTGATGAAGAGAGTAGTGTACAAAGAAAAGAAATATGTGCATTTCTTTATTGCTGCCTCACAATTGTCAAAAAACAAAATTAGGTCCTTAGTTTCTGTAATTGACTTTTGAATCAAAGAACAGGGAGGCATTTAAAGAAATATCTTAAATTAGAGATCTGATCCATTCAGAGTGGAAAAAGAAATTCTATTATTATTATTTAAGAAGATAAAATTATTCCCTGGATTGTTCAATATTGTCACCTAGCAGATAGACACTGTTATTCTGCACTGTTATTACTGGCTTGCACTTTGTGGCATCCTATGTAAAAATATGTATATTGCATATGACAAACTTAAGAATTTCTGTTAGAGCAATTAACATCTGAACTATCTAATGCATTACCTGTTTTTATAAGGTACTTTTTGTAAGGTACTAAGGAGACGTGGGTTTAATCACTAGGTCAGATAAATCCCCTGGAGGAGGAAATGACAACCCATTCCAGTATTCTTGCCAGGAAAATCCCATGGACAGAGGAGCCTGGCAGGGTGTAGTCCATGCATAGCGTTGCAAAGAGTCAGACAAGACTTGAGCTACTAAACAATAACAACAATAAATGCTGGGTCGGCTAAAAGGTTCATTAGGTTTTTTTTTCTGTAAGATGCCTCTGGTAGTACTTGTCTTTAACTTCATTTGAAACAATTTTGTTAGATTGTATGTGACAGCTGTTGTATCAGCATGCATTTGAAAAAAAACCTTACCAAAATTGGTGAATTTTTGTATACCCATTTTACTATTGAAGATGGAAGAAAAGAAGCAAAATTTTCAGCATATCATGCTGTATTATTTCAAGAAAGGTAACACAACCAAAATGCAAAAATATATTTGTGCAGTGTATGGAGAAGATGCTACAACTGATCAAGCATGTCAAAGTAGCTTGGGAAGTTTTGTGCTGAAGACTTCTTACTGGATGATGCTCCACAGTTGGATATACCAGTTGAAGTTGATAGTGATCAAATCGAGGTATCAAGAACAATCAATGTTATACCACGTGGGAGATAGCTGACATATTCAAAATATCTGAATAGAACCTTGAAAACCATTTGCACCATCTCAGTTATGTTAATCACTTTGATGTTTGAGTTCCACATAAGTTAAGCAAAAAAAAAAAAAAAACTTGACCATACTTGCACATGCAGTTCTCTACTGAAATATAATGAAAACACTGTTTTTAAAAACAGATTTTGATGAACTGTGGATGCTATACAATAACGTAGAATGGAAGAGATTGTGGGGTGAGCAAAATGAACCACCACCACCAAAGGCCAGTCTTCATCCAAAGATGTGTGTATGGTGGGATTGGAAAGTAATCCTCTATTATGAGATTCTTCTGGAAAACCAAAAAATCAATTCCAACAAGTACTGCTCCTAATTAGACCAACTGAAAGCAGCACTCAATGAAAAGCATCCAGAATTAGTTGATAGAAAACATATAATCTTCCATCAGGATAATGCAAAACTACATATTTCTTTGGTGACCCAGCATGGCTGGGAGGTTCTGATTCATCTGTTGTATTCAGATATCACATCTTTGGATTTCCATTTATTTCAGTCTACAAAGTTATCAGAATAGAAAAAATTTCCATTCCCTGGAAGATTGTAAAGTGCATCTGGAAAAGTTCTTTGCTCAAAAAGATAAAAAGTTTTGTGAACACAGAATTATGAAATTGCCTGAAAAATGGCAGAAGGTAGTAGAACAAAAGAGTGAATATGTCGTTTGGTAAAGTTCTTGGTGAAAATGAAAAATATGTCTTTTATTTTTATTTGAACACAAAAGGCACGCTTTGGCCAACCCAATACTGCATACTTAAAGGAAACTCTTCTGTGTTGTCCTTAGCCTTACAGTGTGCACTGAATAGTTTTGTATAAGAATCCAGAGTGATATTTGAAATATGCATGTGCTTATATTTTCTATATTTGTAACTTTGCATGTACTTGTTTTGTGTTAAAAGTTTATAAATATTTAATATCTGACTAAAATTAAACAGGAGCTAAAAGGAGTATCTTCCACGGAGTGTCTGGTTATGTTCACCAGTGTGCACAGCATGTTGGCAGCTTCATTTTGGGGGTTAATATGAGAAAAGTGGCACATTTAGTCCTTACACTGCCAGTTGAGGCAGGAGGGCCACTCCTGATCCAGCCTCAGCCTTACTCCCAGTCACATGCCAGCTGTTCTCTGCTGCCTTTTCATATTTTTCCATGAATACCTGTCAAAGTCACTACTATAGCAGAGGAAAACAGTCCTTGCATTCTGGAAGATTTTTTTCTGTCCAGGATTTTGAAATAGAAGATTTTCTTGAGTAAAATGAGACTTAAAGTATCTACCTTATGCCTGTACCCACCCTTGACACTATTTTAGGTTACAAACTGTGAGGCCTGGTGACAATCACCCATTGGATTGAAATTCAACACTGTACAGTCAATATGGCTACTTTCCTTTGTTACAGGCTTTCAAATGTTTCTTCATATGTTTCCTCCTTCCCAAGTATGAGGTGCCAGCTCTCAGTTTTCCTTCACAGAGGTTTTCTTCTGCACCTATAATTCACTAACAGCTGGAAGTAATAATAAAAAAAATGATAGTGGTTGAAATCATAATATTTATTAATACTTTAGCAAATGCCAGTGTCCTTCAGTATCTGAACAGAGGATCAACTTCGCATTAAAAATGAAAAGATTAAAACTCAACATCTTGATATCCCATGATTCACAAAACTAATTAAAAAATGACATAAAATCCTCAAAAGCATTACTCAAAGTTAATCTTTAACGTAAGAAGTTCTAAGACTATTTTCATGCTGTCCTTTTGGCCATATTTAAGATTATTTAAAGATAAACTATTCATTATCTTCCAATCATAATCTCCCAAGAATACCCCACTGAAAATATATCAGTTATACAAAGCAAGGTATTTACAAGGCCAAAGTGAATGATACACATCTGTATCTTTCTCGGACTACCATGTTTTCTTCCTGTTACTTCCAATTCCTGTGAGTTGTGCTACAGAAATTTTTTTATATTTTATATATATACTTTAATTAGAGGATAATTACTTTACAATATTGTGATGGTTTCTGTCATATATCAACATGAATCAGTGTAGGGCTTCCCAAGTGGCGGTAGTGGTAAAGAACTCACCTGCCAATGCAGGAGACATAAAAGATGTGGGTTTAATCCCTGAGTCAGGAAGATCCCCTGGAGGAGGGCATGGCAACCCACTCCAGTATTATCGCCTAGAGAATCTCCATGGACAGAGGAGCCTGGCAGGCCACAGTCCTTAGAGTTGAAAAGAGTCAGACACGATTGAAGCGACTTCGCATGCATGCATACTTATGGCCCCTCCCCTCTTGAACCCTCTGTACCATCTCCCTCCCCACCCCACCCCTCTAGGTTGTCACACAGCACTAGCTTTTGTTTCCCTGCATCATACATTGAACACCCGCTGGCTCTCTGTTTTACATATGGTATATGTTTCAATGTTATTCTCTCATATCATCTCACACTCTCCTTCCCTTATTGTGTCCAAAATGTCTGTGTCTCCTTTGCTGCCCTGCAAGTAGGGTCATGAGTACTATCTTTTTAGATTCCATCAGTTCAGTTCAGTTGCTCAGTCATGTCCAACTCTGTGACCCCATGAATCACAGCACGCCAGGCCTCCCTGTCCATCACAAACTCCCGGAGTTTACTC